ATAGCTTTATTAGTTTTTGAAATATTTAAAATAAACTCTTGGAGTTGTATGGCAGCTACCCGAACCCGTTGTCCGAATTAGTCCAATAACAATAGGGTTCGTCCTTGGCACAAAAGAAAAAACTTGTAAAAGTTTGGTGTCGATTGCATTATTCGTTTTTGAGTTATCGTGCGATCGGACGGACGGACGGACGGACATGTCTAAATCGACGCAAAATTTTACGCTGAGCAAGAATATATATATATGTCCATATCGCAGAACACCTTCAAGTAGTTACAAACTCCATACCAAAGTTAATATACCCTTCACGAAGTGCAGAGTATAAAAAGTACCTAATTAAACAAATAATTAGTTACTCTCAGATCTAATATCTTTTGAGTAAATTATTTTAGAACCTCGCTTTGAGCTATATCGTATAAAATTGTAAAATACCTTTGACATTATACACCTTAGGCGATCAATTACTGCTTACGGATAAAATAATTCTCTGTATAACATCCATGCACATATGTGTTTCGATTTTATAATACATGCCAATAAAACGCGTAAGAGTATAATCAGGTAACACTAAAATATAGAGTAATGCGTATAGCATACGATTTCTATGCAAAAAGTCTCACGTTCAAACCCTGAAAAATGCGATTTTTTTATGAACTTTTTTATGATGAACTTTTTTTTTTATTGATAATTTTATTTATTTTTTGTTCTTATTTAAAATGAAATTAAAAAATCTTACCCCTACAAATCAATATAAGCGTGCTTCCGTCCTAAATATTTTTTGAAAATAACCTATTTGTAAAGGTCTAATGCAATAGAGTAATACTTTCTTATTAAATTTTATCCAAAAATATATTGTCAAGAAATTTAATGTACAAGTATGTTTTATTTAATAATACATTATGCAGTAGATCGCGAAAAGAATACATAACTAAATGCGTACCTACATACTTATTATAAAGCAATGTAGATTGTATTAACTTTAACAATTTTCTTGAGCAAGTATTTACTTCTTGTTATATTTCACACTTCTAAAACACGATTTATATTGAATACTTATACTTGCTAAAGTAAATAACAACTACCCCTACTGCCATTTTGTAAAAAGCGGTCACAAATCATCTTGGGAGGGGTGAAGGGGGAGGGTGGGTTGTATATTTGCTTTTTCTGGGCCCTAGAGGCAAAACCCTGTCTAATGCCTTTTGTCCCTTCTAGAAATACCCGTACTTTTTGACACCTGAGAAGTAGCTATATATGTATAATGTAAAATAGGATGGTTTATGAAGAGTTACAGTAGTTTAGAAAAATTCGCAAAAATTTTAAGTACATAAGCATGTACAAATGTATATTTTTTTAGAGCTTCCTGACTAATTTTTTTAAGCTTCGTATGTGAATTGAATTACGTTCAAAACTGTAGTTTGGCATATAAAAATAACTTTTAAACAAATAATTATTTAATCGTAGGGATAAATATACCGAAATAAATTTTTCAAATAAAGAAAAGGTTTAGGCAAAAACAAAATAATAATTTTATTCAAGTATATGCACTTACATATTATAATTCAAAATTTTAAAATTTTTCGTTCGAACAATTAAAAATAAAATTTTAAGTAAAACATACATAATTATGAATGTATTCATATTTTTTTAAACCGTCTTGAAACATAATATTCAAAACTGTGGGTGAAAATATAGAATAAAATTGCAAATAAAGAAAAAGTTTAAGCAAAAACAAAATAATAATTTCATTCAAATATGTGTATGCACATATGAATGTATTAAAATTTAGCATTTTAGAGTTTTTCGCTCGAACAATAAAAATGAAATTTTAAGTACATACGTACATAAGTTGTGTATATATATTTTTTAAGGCTTGCTGACCAAATATAATATTCAAAACAATAACAAATGAAGCATTAATATTCAGATACCACAAAACATCTGATGTCTTCGGTAAAAAGCTGATATCCATTTAAGCTTATTTCAATTTTCGAACTAAAAATATGTGAGATCATTATGTGTTTCTAATAATATAAAGTATAAAAGAAAAGCGTGCTTTTGTTATACAAAAATTTTTTCATAAAATCTTAACATAGAGCTATTTTGGGGCAAAAAAAGTTCCAATGTCAGATATTTCTGGGACCCTAGAGGCAAAACCCTATCTAATGCCTTTTGTCCTATGTCTCTAGCCCTTCTAGAAGTACCTGTACTTTTTGACACGTGAAAAGTAGCCACATATATATAATAATGTCAAATAGGATGGTTTTTGAAGAGTTATACGAAATATAAATAAAATAAAGAATTATAAAGGCAAATTTAAGGTACTGTGGTAGTGTGATAGCCAACAAGCAGAAGATTATTAGACCGATGCTTGCCTGGATATTTTCGTATTTTTCTATTTTTTGAATGATTTTAAAATATTTTTTTTATATTATTTTGTTTGAATAGTTTTTATTCTTTTTTTTAATATATAACAGAAAAATATTATTATAAAAGTTTAAGAAAAAGTTCCAAAAAAAAATATTGTTATAATAGTTTGGAAAAATTCGCAAAAATTTAAATTACATAAGCATGTATGTATATTTTTTTAAAGCTTCCTACCGAATTTTTTTCTAAGTTTCCCATATGAATTAAATAATATTCAAAACTGTGGTTTGGAATATAGAAATAAATTTTAAACACATAATTATTAAATCATGGGGGTAAACATACAGAAAGAAATTTTTCAAATTAAGAAAAGGTTTAGGCATAAAGAAAATAATATTGTAATTCAAATATATGTATGTACATATAAATGTATTAGAATTGACCATTTTAAAATTTTTCGTTCGAAATTATAAATAAAATTTTAAATACAAACATACATAATTGTGAATGTGTACCTATTATTTTAAAACTGTGGGTGAATATATAGAATTAAATTTTAAAATAAAGAAATTTAACAACAGTTATTCTAAATTATGTAACAGCAATTTTTTTGAATTATATGTTTCGTATTATTATTTTCCGTTTATTTAAATTACCAAAAATGCTAAAATTCTAATTTGTCAGGACCTTATATGCACATGTATTTGCAAACATTTTAGTTAGTTAATGTTTATATTTTCCCATACATAAGTTTCTCACAATATTTTAGTAGGAGTCAAATTACATTTATTTTGTTTATATATGTGTATATACTTTAAGTAAATTTGAAAGTGATATGTTACGTAAGTTAACATGAGAAAATTATGAATTTTATAAATGCATAAAATTGCTTACTAATCTATTTCTGTGTGAAATAATTAATTTTCAGTGGTATAATTTTTGCATAATTAGGTCAGATTTTTAATAAATAAATTCGTTAACTTCAAACCAAGTAAAAAAAAGTTTTTCAATTAAACTATCCAACATTTTGAGGGCTCAACCAGAAAATACAAAAAAAAATGTCACAAAATATAAAACTGGATGAAACTGCTTCTGATTAATGTTAAGAAATTCTGAAAACTGATAAACGTTAAGAAAGATCTAGCTTCAAAAAAGAATATCAAATATAAAGCAAAATAAGTAAACTTAACAAACTATGGAAACAGTTTAATATCGGCGACTTGATAATAAAAGAGTTTTGGAGTGCGAAAACTGATCAGACATATTTTAAAACTGAATACTACAACAAGGTGAATCAACTGAAGGAGAGCCTGCAAGAATATATATATATACAGTACTAGCTACCTCATAAATACAGTACTAGCTTAAAGCGCAAGCCAACCTAAGAGCTCCAAAGTTGAAAAGCAAGCTGACGAAGACAATGAAACGGACGACGATTTAGAAGAGAACAATAATGACGAGACTGACTTAAACTCTGATGATTTAATGAAAATAGAGCAACAGCAGCGTTACAAAAAGCAGCATAATAAAATAAAAATGTTTTACCGAGTTGTCAAGAAGGTAGACGAATTGTGCAGTATCTTGAAACATTGATCACATATTGAAAAGATATCATTAGAACAATGATGACATAATTTCCCATGCCGCAAGTGAACAAGAATCAGAATACGTGAAAGAAGCATTTCGAAAAAGTTGAAGAGAAGCATCAGGAAATCATTATTAAAATAAGGTAGCATATGCAGAAGCAAATTCAATCTGGTGAGTCTACAAGAGCACAAGAAAACCAAGTAAAACTACGGCAAATTAACATACCAAAGTTCAATGGTCATTATGACTCATGGACCAGCTTTTGTAACCTATTCAATTCGCTTATACATTCAAATAGCCAATAGAATAACGTTTAAAAATTTCATTACCTCAAAAGTCTACTGTCGCCAGAGCCAATGAACTTAATAAAATATCTTCTAGTCACTAACGAAAATGACGTTACTGCATGGGAATTAATAACAGCAAACAGGTACAACAACACAATAATACTGTTCTCAACATATATAAACAAGCTGCTATCTCTACCTCATTTAAATAATGCAACATCAGCTGGATTGAAAAATATGTTGCACACTACAAAAGAATGCCTTTGTGCTGTAAAAAACCTAGGCATTGAAACAAATTTCTGGAGCCCTAAAATTAGTTTTCTAATCTTACCAAAAAATTGATGAAGAAAAATCAAGGCTTTACTAACAATGGGAAAACCGGATGAAAATCCCAGAATTGACAGCTGTGTTACAATTCCTGGAAACAAGGTTTCAGGCGTTAGAAACTTTTGGGCAACAAAAACAAAACATGAAAAGCGAAGCGGAAAAGAATGTCCAATTTGTAAAGAGCAGCATAAAATTTGCTCATGTCAAAAGTTCAAAGACATGAGTATTACTCAAAAATGGGCAGCAGTAAGAAGGCACAAATTACGCTCAAACTGTCTCAGCAGCAATCATGTTGGACCAAGTGCATTTCAAAGAGCACTTGCATGAAATGCAGCAAAAATCATCACAGTCTGTTACGTGATGAAAGCACAGTAAAAACACATAATACACCTAGTAATTCAGGTGGGCAATAATACAACTGCGTCATACTGAAGAATGCAGCAGTTTTTTTTACCTACAGCAAATGTGTACGTTAAAAATACACCATTGCGAGCCCTAATAGATCAAAGGTCGCAGTCGTCGTTTATAACAAAAGAAGTTGCAAATCAATTGCAACCCAAAAGAATAAAAATTGATACCATAATAACTGTAATCGGTGCAAAAGAAATAAGCTCTGTAAAAAGTAGTGTGAGCATAACAATTACATCAAAGCAATGTAATGAATTTTCGATTACCACCACGGCTTATGTTCTGGAAAACCTGACAAAAATCCTGCCACAAGAACAAGTATATAAAGACAAATGGGAGCACCTTAAGAACATAGAGTTAGCCGACCCTGAATTTGAAAAACCAGCAAAAGTTAATCTTATATTAGGGTCAGATATCTTTATTGAAATATTGCTTAGTGGAATAATAAAAGGACAATCATACCATCCGATAGCTCAGCAAACAGTCTTTGGATGGATTGTAACGGGTCCTGGCGCAAGAAAAACCCTTAAAAAACGCTTGATATGCCATGTTACACTGAGAGACATTGATGCACAAGTCAAACAATTCTGGGCCGCCGAAGAAATTCCGAAGAATGAAATGGTTAAAGAAGATGAAGAATGTGAAGTACTTTATAAAGCAAATACTCAACGTAATAACGAAGGGAGATATATTGCCCGAATCTCCTTCAGAGAAGGTAACATTGCTTAATAATGACAGGAAAAATAGAGCAATCGCACGCCTAATTAGTATGGAAAAACAGTTCGCATGAAACCAAAAACTTGCCGAAAGTCGCAAAGCATTTATGCGGGAATATGAGAACCTAGGCTATATGAAAAGATGTGATATAGATAGCCAAGATGAACCGTCCTTTTTACCACATCATGCAGTTATAAAAGAAGAAAGCACAACCACAAAACTTTGTGTTGCGTTTGATGTTCAAACAAAACATGATTTGATGTTGAAAACATTGTTTGATGTTGAACAAAATACGTTTCCAGTGAGAACGAAAATCTTACGAACCGATATGTATGTATATGATACAATGTCAGGTAGCGATACAGTTGAACAAGTCGCAAAAGTGAAATTACAACTTGTAAATATTCTAAAAAGCGCTGACTTTAGACTTCACAAATGGGTAGGTAACAACCCACAACTAGTAAACAATACAATGCCGATAAAATGCGTTGAAATGGGAAATATTCAAACTGAGTCACGTAAATTATTAGGAGTACGATGGTACCAAAAAAAAGACGAATTTAGTATAATAATCGAGCAGCGAAATTTGCAGAATTTACGACCCACTTGGGTGGGTAGCATCAGTTGTATTAACCGCAAAAATTATTCTCCAAGACAAATGTAACACAAATATTGATTAGGATGAGCTATTACCGTCACGTCTACATGATAAATACATCAATTTTCGCAATTTATAGATCATGTAAAAGTTCAAATTTGGCTTTTCTACACTTCAACCAAACCACTTGAACTTCATGGGTTCTGTGACGCTTCGGGTAGAGCATATGTTGGAGTAGTATACTCACGACTGCACCAAAACGGTTATAAATTAACATTAATCACCGCCAAAACAAGTTGGTATCGTCTTCCCAAAAACTTTCAATACCGCGACTAGAACAAAAGGGAGCAGATTTACTAATGAAACTGCCTGACAAGGTTGCAGGTGATTTAGAAATATCAAATATGGTACTATACATTGACTGATTCCCAAGTAGTGCTCTCCTGGCTCCAGGAAAACCTAAGTAAGTGGAAAGTCTTCGTTCCCAATCGCGTTAAAATCATTCAACAATCACCAAGAAAGATTATTTGAAATTACGTTAATACGACTGAAAATTCCGCTATCTTGGCGTCAAGAGGAATCTGTCCGAAACAAATTATTGAAAACAAATTGTGGTGGTCAGGACCAGAATGGCTGATACAATAAATGTAACTGGCAAGGCACTTTAACCAACACAGTTGGAGTTAAAAATAAGTTACCTCCCGTCAACAAGACTACCAATCAAAACTCTTTCCATCGAAAGATTTTCATCACTACCAAGGCTACAAAGAACTACGCCTTCTGTCAAAGATTTTATAATAATGCAAATCCAAAAAGGAAGAATACTGGACAATTAACAACAACTGAATTGGAAACCGCACTATGTTCTATAATCAAACTAGAACAAACTGTCTATAACACAGAAATTAGCTGTCTAATAAAAAACAATCTATTGCCTGGTAACAGCAAGATATTAGAGCATCGTCCATTTTGAAAAATGGTATATTAAGAGTGGAAGGCAGTCTATGAAGAGCAAATATTGACGAAAATTCCAAACATCCTATTATAATACCACGGTCTAGTCATTTGGCGTCATTAATAATAGACCACGCACACATGTCATAGATCCTGGGAAAATTTTGGATTACCAACGGACATCACAGAGTAAAAAAACGAATAACGGAGTGTATCATTTGTCGCAGAAACAACGCACGCTCAAACACCCAACTTATGGGTGATCTACCTGCAGCTAGAGTAATCGTTTCACCACCGTTTACTCCTACGGGTGTTGACTTTGCTGGACTAGTACAACTTAAATATAGCACGTTGCACGTGTTTGTTATTGCAAGACGAGGAAATGTGGCACATATTTCCAGTGACAACGGTACAAACTTTGCAGGAGCAGACAACCAGTTAAAACCCAATGAGAAATTGGGTCATTTTATATTACAACAGTCAATTCAATGGCATTTTATTCCTATAGGCACTCCCCATTTTGGTGGACTATTGAAAGCTAGAGTAAAATCGGTAAAGTGTCATTTCTCAAAAAGTATTGGCGATACTAAACTCACATTTGAAGAATCAGGAACCCTTCTAGCAAAAGTCTAAATCAATAAAAATTCCCGTCCACTTACACCAATTGCAGGAGACATATGATACAGGAGCATTAACATTAGAACATTTTCTGGTAGGCTCAAAACTATTCAATGTACCTACCAAAAAGATAACGAATATGGAAAAAATTAGCTTCGGCGTTGGGAACTTGTAGAACAAATGAATCGGCAATTCTGGAAAAAATGGTCAAATAAATACCTACTTAGACTCCAAGCACGTAAGAAGTGGCAACAACCAAAATATAATTTAACATGGGGCTCATTGGTTCTAATTCGCAATCCTAATCTACCTACTTTAAGATAGCCTTTAGGTAGAAATTTAGAAGAGCATAAAAGTGATCTTGTAAGAAGAGTGACACTTGAGAAAAAAACGAAGAAATTAAACGCCCGTTCGTCGGTTATACTTCTACCTGTGAGACCTACAAATAAAGAAACACCTAAAGAAGTATCACATGCCAAAAAAAATAATAATTGTAGAATTTAGCATTTTACAGTTTTTCGCTTGAACAATAAAAATAAAATGTTAAGTACATACGTACATAAATTGTGTTTGTATATTTTTTTAAAGCTTGCTGACGAAACATAATATTCGAAACAATAACAAATGAAGCATTAATAGTCAGATGCCACAAAACATCTGTTTTCTTGGAAAAAGCTGACATTTATTTACGTTTAGCTTATTTCGATTTGTCGAACCAAAAATATATGAGATCATTCTTTTTTCAAATATTACTTATTTCTCGGTTTGTGTTTCTAATAATAACGTAAAACGTATTATTTATTTCTTGGTTTGTGCTTTTAATAATATCAAGTATAAAAGAAAAACATGCTTTTGTTATACAAACATTTTTTTTTCATCGAAAGAAGGAGGACATCATGAATGGTATTAACATGCCATTCCCTGACAACCCTTAGTTAGTTATATTGTGTCTTACCACAAAAACCTCTTCCTTATATTCTGATACTTGTCCCATAGACCAATCGTCAAATTTTCTTTAATATAGGTTGAAAGGGACTTAACGCTCCCCGATTTGATGAAGCGCATATTGCGCTAAATTAGAAGGCAAAGTCCTATTTAGCCTTCTAGGAGAATTCCGAATAACAAGAAGCCGAGAGGCCTCTCGGCCTACACAACTACACATGGAATCTTTGGATCTCTGTGCAAATCTCCATTTCGCACATACCAAGGGACATCCACCATATTCCGCAAAACCCTATTCTGGGACGTTTATATTCGCTGGACATGTGTTTGTTTGGCATATCTCCACGACTGGATACTATACAACCAAACCGGTTTGATAATTTGGTTATAGAGCAAGATCTTATTCTATATCGGCAACCTTGACTTCCAACCCAGGAGCCAATACATTTCTTTATATTTTAATTCTAATTCTGCCTTTTTCTTCTTAACATGTTCCTTCCATTTTAGCTTAACATCCAGTGTCATTCCCAGATATTTTGTTGCATATTCCAGCGCAACATTTACCCCATTTAAATTAACACGTGGGAGGTTTACAAGAACTTTATTTGTAAAATTTACTTGCGCAGACTTAGTTTCATTTACTTTTATTTTCCATTTCTTGGTCCAAGCATCAAAACTATTGCTTGCCTGCTGCAATTTCCTTGTGGCGTCGTCAATGTAGCCTCAATTGTGTTTTCTCTTTGAGGCACATCTCTTACAAAGGGTAGATATAGTATTGGACCAAAATACTGCCCTGAGGCACACCTGCTCTTATTTCTCTAAGGGTGGAATAGTCCCCATCCTGTTTGACTTTAAATAATGTGTCGGTTAAATAAGAAGATCTACATATTGGCTAAGTAATATTTTTCTTAACTTGTATATTATTCCTTCGTGATAAAATCTTGTCAAAAGCCTGTGCCACGCCTACAAAATTTGTTGCACAAATTTGTCTTTCTTCTAGGGCTTCCTCAATAATATTTGTAATTCTATGAATTTGATCAGTAGTTGAATGTTCTGCTCTAAACCCAAGTTGGTGGTACTGAATTAATTACCTGTCCTCAACTATAAGTCAAATTCTTTCTGGTAATAACTTTTCCAAAAGTTTCGACAAAATTGGTAGCAGAGAAATCGGTCTATAAGACTTTGTCTCATTTAAAGGTTTACCAGGTTTTGGTAAACTTATAACTTAAATAATAACTTATATAACTTCTGCCACCTTCCAAGCATTAGGCACATATTTTAACCTTAATGCAGAATTCATTAAAAAAGTCAAGATTGTTATACCCTTTTTTGGTAATTGCTTCAGTATCTCAGAGATAATTAAATCAAAACCCTATGCTTTCTTTGACTTTAAACTTTTTATTTCTTCTTATTAAATTGGTCTTTTAATATTTTTTGTAACCCTCCATATGGAATAATTACTTTCTTTTTCGGCTGACAAATTTTTAATGTAATTATCAATTTCTTCTTTTCATATTGTTTTGTATTTTTCCTCTTATGATTTTATTGAAATTCTGTACCTCAGAATCCAAATCACCTATGGTTCGTACTATAATTCTTAAGTTTATTTTATTCATCAATCCAAATCATACGTTGTTATCCTCTAAAGTAATGAAATTTGGCGAGATTTTCTTGACAATAAAGAAGTCTAGCAGTCTAGTGGTATCTTATTTCTATCACTTGGCCAACATGTTGGCCTATCAGTGGATTGGTTGTGACAACCAATCTTTTTAATAGCTTTTCTTAGCTCTCTACCTCTTGTTGAAGTCAATCTAGAACCACATTCAATATAATTGGCATTATAGTCACCTCCCAGAATAAACCTTTCTTTAAGGAGATTCAGAAAATCTTTGAAAGAACC